ACTCTTCATGGTGGAATGGACCGACTTTTACCTTGTCTTATTTTTGGATTTTTTGCTGGACTGTTTGTGCCAACTAGCCAGCCAAATGACTGGGCCTGGTCCCCCCGGGGCAGCCCAGGCCACTCTGCCTACTCTAGACCGCTGCACCTCCCCGTTCTGGGACACCTCGACCGATAACTCTTCCTCCCTGTCCTCCACCACCAAAAAAAAGTAAACCCCTCCTGCCTGACTCTGCCGGATTGACCAGTGTGGATGCTGCAAAAGGACTCCAGATCTCTGCCTTGACCAGGAACTGCCTTCTCTCCCATGCCTTCCCTCTGCTCGGAGATGTCTGCAGGAACAGAGACTGGGACCTCACTCGCCACCCTTTTTTTGTTTGTTTTAGGTTTGTTTGTTTTGTGCCTACAGGATATATTTTTGTGCGGGATCACTCTTCATCCAGGGCCATGGGGACAACGGGAGCATCCCTCCCTGGTGGCGGTGGGACCAGGGTGAGGGGGGCTGGTGTCATGGCGGGGTGAGGGGAAGGAAAAACAGCAATAACTTCCCTTGCTTTGCTCTAGATGAGGCTTTGGGGGCATGGGAAGGGGGATCTGGCTCTGGATCCTGCGGAGGGGTCTGGATGGGGGCTGCTGGCCCCAACCCGGTGACTGTGTGAGGGGAGGGATCCTTATGTGGGGAAGATGGTCGGTGCAGGGGGCTTGGGATGGATCTCCCTGTGTGGTAGGTGATGGGTCCCTGTGGAAGGAGGAGATGCAGCAGGGCTTTTGGGGAGAGGGACGGTTTTTTGGGGGAACCGTCGGGGGGGGGGGAGAGGCAGGCTTCTTGGGGCACACTGTGTGTGAGGTGTGAGGAGCAGGTGCTGGCAGGGCTGCAAGCGGGTAGAGCCAGGATCCCCCCTCTCACCCCCACGCACCAGCTGCCTCTGGCAGTGCCCCTCTGACTTTCTCTTGACACGTGCCTTTCTTTTGCCACTGTGAAATAGCTCTTTAAATCGTACTGTCTGGCTTCTTCGCTGGGGAAGGGGTGTTTCCTGGGTTTCTGGCAGGGCTGAGCGCTTCCGTTCCCTGCCAGGAGCCTTAACTGTCTGCAGTGGGGCTGGAAGCCTGTTTTGGGGGGGATCCCAGCCCCCCTGCCCTCACTGACAGGGTGCAGGGCTCTCATCTGCATCCTGTCCTGGGGAGACAGGGCTGCCACAGGAGTTAGGACATACACATCCTCTTCCTCTCTGCTGTGGTGGTGGGGGGCTTATCTAAGTGCTGTGATCTTTTGGGGAGCCCTTGGGCTCCCTATGCAACTGGAAGCCTCTGTAGGAGGCTGCAAACTGGAGTGGGAGCCCTCCCCAGCCTAGGGCTCCCCCCAAACTATGGGCTTATGTGGGGAGTGGGGAGGCTGCAGCAGGCAGAACTGGTGCCTTGCTCCTGCCTGCTCCTCTGCCTGAAAGCACCTCCCAGCTCTGCTCCCTGGCTCCAGCCCCACCTCAGCTCAGTTTGGTTTTGTTCTGGGGTCTAACTCTTCTCTTTTCCTTTAAATATGTAAAACACTAATTCCTTTTTTAATTTTTAATTCCAAATGAACCAAAAAAAAAGCTTCCCCCTTCTCTCCTCCCCTGCCCTGGCTCTCCTGGGCCACCCCTGCCCTGGTGGGGAGTGGGGCTAGGGAGGAGGGGAGCAGGGAGCAACAAGCCGTTCCTTGTCTGATTCCTGTGCACACTCTTGTAACGCTTTTAAAACAAAATGATTTTTTTATATAAATAAAGTTTTTAAAGTGTGTCTGTGTGCCTTCCACGTAAGGCTGCTACCTTGGCATTTTCAGCTTTGCAGTTGGGACCAAGTATCTTCCAGGGGCAGGGCTGTGCTCTTGAGTATTGCTTGGCTGTGCGTGTCTCTGAAAGATGCCACTTTGTGACAAAAACTCTCTTGGGGTGGAGTGACATTTCCTTCTCTTTCTAGCAAAAGATTAGAGGAAAAATAAAAAGCACCAAAACTAACCATTTTTGCAGGGTGCTTGGGGCTGCTCAGGAGGTAGCTGAGAGCCCTCCCTCTCCCCAGAGCATCAGGGCTTCCTGCTGGGTAGCCTTTCCCTGAATTTTCCCTCTCTTCTGGTGGCTGGTAGACTTTGCACAAGTGAAGAAATACCATAATTTCTCTAGTGCTGAGTGCATCCTTAAAAAAGCTGCCTGGGCGAGCCCTCTGGAGCAAGGGCTGCTCCTGAAGGGCACAGCTGGGCTCCAAACATGCTCATCCCTTCCTGAGGAATACTGAAGCCAGGCTGAAACACCCTGTTAACTCACTTCGCTTTCACCCATGTGTGCGTGTGAAAATAAATATAGAAAATTCTGTAAATTTGTGGAAATACCTTTTTGGAAGCAGTTTTCTGGCTTCTGCTTCAAACCAGCTTTTTTCTGAAGCTGCATTGCTGTTGGAAAGATTTTGCTGGGGCTCAGAGCAGCTCTCTGCCCTGTGGTAGCAGGATGTGGGTCTGTGGTGACGCAGGGCTGGGGCAGTGCTAATTTCCTGCATGGTGCAGCACGGCTGGAGCTTGAACTGCTCCCCCAGGGAGGCTGGGGTTGTTGTCCTCTGGGTTACAGGGGAAAGGCAGCTGGGGCAGTCACCCCTGGCTTGCAGCACCCTGGGAGATGGGGACCCAATGCACCCGTGGGTGGTGGGGAGCACTGATGGATGCACCTGGCTATGGGGGGCTTCAGCACTCCCACCTTGCCTTGCACCCTTGTCCCCAAAGCCACCAGCGAGCTGAGCAAAGGCAGGGCCAGGTGTTTTATTGCTTCAGGTGGAAGGGACAATGCCCAGGACATGTGGCTTAGCAGTGACTATGCCAAGAATGTCTTGGGGTGGAGGAGGACAATGAATGATGCCCAGGATGTCTGGCTTGGCAGAGACAATGCTGGGACGTTTGGCTCAGCAGGACCAATGCCAGGGACACTGATGGGTGGGACAATACAAGGGATGTTTGGCTCAGCAGGGACGATACCAGGGATGCCTGTTAAAAAAAGGATTATCCCATTAGGGATGATGGTGGGGACGATACCAGGGACATCCGGCCAGGCAGGAAGGGTGGCTGTGTGCCAGAGGGCCGGGGGTCAGAGGAAGAGCTTGTCGTGGCAGGCCTGGCAGTACATCTTGTTGCCATGCTCACGGAAGGTGCCTTTCTGCAGCTGGCCCAGGCAGTAGGCGCAGATGAAGTGCTCAGGGTGGTACTTGCGCCCCGAGGCCGTAACGCAGTGGCCGGTCACAGGGTGGCCACAG